ATTTAAAATGGTATTCAAAATTTTTAAATATTTTAATGTCTAAATGATACAAGTAGGTATACAATATTATACATGTATATTGTAAAAATACTGAATTCTATCATTAGAATTTAGAACACTGAACATTGTGTTAAAAAAATAAATAAATAGTGTTTTTATTTGTGTAAAAAAATTTCAATGTGTCACGTTTTTGTGAAATATTTCATACTTCAAACACTATATATTAGGCACCATGGTTATTTTTTATAAGCATTTAAAGTTCAAATTTTGACAAAATTTATCAAAATCTCGAAAATTATCAATCATTGTAATTAATAAATTATAAAATGTTCAGTTTTTCTAGCTAAGGATTGCAAATTCCACACAAAGGTTCTCGTAAATAGTTCATACTGTAACCAAAAAATCTATAAAATATATGAACACAGTTATTTTTTACAGACATTTTAAATTCAAATTTGGACGAAATTACATATTAAAAAACCTAGAATAACTATTTTAGTTATTTTGTTGTGATTGAATAATATTATTCGTGGATACTAGAAACTTCTAAAGTGTACTATTATATATCTATGATAGTATCACGGTTTTTGTTGATGTATAACGCGTTATAAGTACCTAATGGATATTTTGATATGATTAATTTTGGAATTTATTATAGGTACTTACCTATTATAGGTCAAATTTTGGTTTAGTACCATAGATATGTATAATGTATATAATATGTCTTATACCTAGACTGACATACTGTCTCCGCTCAGAATCATTTTTCTTATACAATGATATTATATCGTTGAATTAAAATTTAATATCATCCATTATACAGTGACCCACTTGTAACCTACTGTACAGCAGAGCGACACCCACTTGCTCACTTTTTTTTTTTAAATACAATCGAAAACTATACCCTGTTTTGATTGCACTGTTTTGCTGGAGTTATTGTACCGATACACCGCACACAGTTTCGCGTGTACGATATAATAATAATAATAAAATATTATAACGATAATAATACTACCGATAATAGCGTAGTATCACTGCGTCTGTGTTTTTATTCGTAAGCAAAAATTATTCGTAATAATCATGACCTTTACGAATTCGTTAAAAATAAAAATAAAAAAACCGATAAGAGTTTTGTGTTTTCTAGGAGGTCGGAAAGGGAGGGGCACGCGTGGATACACGTACCCCGATCAGTCTACTGTTTTGTAACAACGCGGTCTAGGTTATATAGTAATAATATTGTGTACAGTTAGAACATTCAAAATAAAATAATGATAATAATATAATAATAAAAAAAAAAAAAAATTATATAATAATACAATGATACAAATATATAATATTTGAACGCGTCCATCGCGACTCGTCGTCCGATTATCGTATGACACTCGTATCATAACATTTAATAATATTATGTACAATATTGAATAATATATTACACAGGTATATAGGTACCTATTTATAATTAATACAATAATTATTATTGATGGTATTATATCATTACAATACTCGGAAATCGTTTACGGGAGAACGATTAAATATAATATAACGATAATAATAATAACAACAATATATTAAAAAAAACAAAACCAATAACAATCAGCGGCGCCCGAGTCATACTTTGCTCTCGGGACCGTCAGCCGAGTGTTCGAAAGATTTTCGTATCGCCGACAAATATTTGGAAGTGATGTGTCCGTATATCTTGTTGTTCCACTCGCACGTCCTGCCCCTGAAAAATGACAAAGGTGTCGTTATTATCGTATTTTGTTTGTTTAAGTTTCAATTATAGTACAATATAATATAATATGTTTTTATTTTAGAACTTTCAGCTGATAACTATTACAGTTCATCAATTATTTAAAATATAATAATATGTTTTTATGATATACTTCGTAATACATTAACATTTGAATGGTAAACACAAAAGTAATTGTTGAACTGCAATTTTATATTATTCCACGCCATATTATATTCTAGTCTTTTTTTATTATTATTATCAAATATTCAAATCGTGACGGAATATAGTGGCACGTATAGAAATATTATTTTCCTTCGTCTATACGCCCAACACTAATAAAAAAATAAGTATTGATTAGAATTAAAAAATATATTTTTGTTATTTTTGCTTAATCATTTTTTTTAGAAAAAACCCGGCACAATAATGGGAGCTACTATTTTACTACTAAAATATTATATGATAAATATTTTCTATTAGTATGAGAAATATTATGTCTATTTATTTAAAAATATTCATAGATAAAATTATAATAATATGATAAAAACATAAAAAAATAAAATACCACGTTGCAGGACATTTGAATATTTCCATACTTAGATCAATACTTTTTCATATACACGATGAATAAAATATGCAAATACTTTCAGTGTTTTGCGACATGGGTAAACACTAAACACGCGACAATGATAAGGAAAAAATTTAAAACCATGGTTCTACAGAGTATATTCCCAGTAATCATTTTCTAAAATAGTAATATTTTGAAAATATAATGGAGATTCGATGCAAACTATTTTTTTGATGTGGAGCGTCACTTTATTATTCTATCACGCCTATATAATTATATGGGTTACAGTTTGTTAAGATTAACAGGGTAGAACAATTTTTCGGCATCGGTCGATCGTAACAAACGAAAAATGTCATCGAAAACCGATTTATTCGATGGGTTCGATCTGACAGAAAGGATGAAAATCGGTTGCCACCTGCTCAGGTCACTCATATTTGAGACGGAGCTTTAACTGCAGATATCTATCACTAACTACACTTATCAAAATTTGGAAATATAAAAATTATGAACCGCAATGAATTCAAATTTCAATTCTATTTTTGTCTTGAATTTGAATTTGGTATTTAAAATGTATAAATGTATGAAATGTTCAATCTAAATGTATCATAACAAATTTAAACATGATTTCAGATTGTCTATCAGCTCTATAATAGCCTACGAAGAGAAGGCACACAAGACCGCCAAGAATCGCAAAAACAGTTAAACCAAATGGTACACTCACTTTGTGTCGACTCGCGACAAATGCAGTACTCGGGATCGGCCCGAACCACACGGTTCGATCAGGTACCTGGAGGCGAGCACGATGCCACGGACCGAGCCCGCCGCCGGTTGCTTGGCGTCCGGGTGTTCGACGGACGTCTCGACGACCGCGCAACCGCCCCGGTTGAGATCGGTTCGCCACGACCTGACCACGCAATAGTCCTTGTCCGGATGAGGGGCCATCGCCGCGACCGCGTACTGGTACAGGTCGGCGCGAGCGTCCATCTTGGCCACCACCCTGGCCGACACCAGGTCGGCGTCCCACACGTGCCTCTCCCACAGGATCCGGGCGAGCACCTCGGCGGGCGGCGCCTCTACTTCCGTGCACACCCGCCACAGCCGCAACGGGTGTCCGTCGCCGACCTTCTTGTACGATATGTCGACGTTCTCGAAACTGCCCACGGCCATCCATCCCCTGTTCCTGAAAACACACGTAGGTACCGCGTTTAATATTATTTACATGACAGCGCCCAAGTTGTAAATTTTCAGATTAACATTATATCTGCAGGTCGTATGATTATATAATATCTAATATTTTAATCCTCTATATATATCAAAAAAGGCAATGTTTGTGACGTTTGTGTGTTTGTGTCCGCGAAAGCGATTCACAGCCAAGTTTATCACACTCATTATGGTTTTGAAATTTAGGCTAAAAGAGGGGTAATCCTGTGTGCCCTAGGATGATGATGTGCACCTCGAAGGGCGATTTTAATATTTTACATACCTACCCCTCTGTGTTATTCCTTATAATATGATGTATATAATATTGTTGTTATTAAATAACATTAAATTAAGTTTAGACTTTAGACGAGTAAATATTATAGTAATTAGTAATTACTATTATAGAACATACTATTATTACTTATACCAACTTGTACTAGTTCATAGACAATACTACAATAGTAAGTTGTACTATATTTGTTCGAGCTCTTTACAATACTATATATAATATATAAAGTGAATAATACACTACCTATGTGTATAGAATTGGTAAAAAGAAAAATTTGAAAAAGTTATAGCATGTACTTTTTGAATGTTCATGGTGACTTCCTTTATCTATCTATATTATGTAGTCACTAGAGTTGGTTTTTCTTTTATTAACTATCGTTTTTGGTTAGGTATTGCAATGTATATAATATCGAGCATATATAATATACATTTAGGATTACAAATTAGACTTCTTGCTTACTTGTCTTTAGCTTCTTTAAGCAACACCGACCAGTGTTTGGAAAGAACGTCGTTCATGAACGCACGTTCACGCGTTCACGTTCATATATAGTGAACGATACGTGAACGTCACTCGTTTTTTGCATATAGAACGTGAACGTGAACGACGTTTATATTTTTGATGAATTTGATGAATTTTTAAGACGTTCAATTTATTTACCATTTAATAAATATTATATGTATAAAATATATTAATTAATTATATTATAATAATAATATTTTCATTTTTCCCATTATAATTCCTATAATATTCGTTTGATTGCAAAATATATAAATTAAATACGGGCAATTCCAGTGTCCCCGGCTAGACATACATAATATTATGATTTCCACGAATTCGTAATAAACCCATACGGCATCTAGCGGTTAATAATAGTATGAATTATGTTAGCATACAAATTTTTGTGTTATGCCGTATCCATAATATGTTTAATATCTATGAATATTTTAAATTTAATTTTAAATCAGTATGATCATTATAACTTATAAGACATAAATATTGAAATGTCCCCGTTTTGCCACATGGCCCCCCGTTCTGCCCCACTTTCCCCTATATGCTCTAAATTGTATTTTTATTTTTTGTTTGAGTCGTATATGTTTATGGGATTTTAATTTTTATATTCATGGCAGGCCAACGATTCATAAAAAAAAATTAAATGAACGCGACCCATCGAACGCGTTCGGTTTTTAAAAGAACGTGAACGTGAACGCGTTCGTTTAAAAAAACACGAACGTGAACGTGAACGAGTTCCTTTTTGAAGGACTGAACGTGAACGTGAACGAGTTCATTTTTTTCGTGAACGTTCCGAACACTGACACCGACGTACACACGTTCAGGTATCCTCTCCAGTCGTGGCCCATTTCCGCTCCTAGTTCTACCAGGCTTATTGGTATGATTTCGTCCATGTAGCTGAAGTGACACTGACTCATGATTTCATCTGACATAGTGACATCTGATTATGAAACGAAAACCACTGATTAATACAGAATATAATCAACCTAGTTAAAATTGTATGCGTGTGTAGCGCAGGGTGTCATTGTCAGATAGTAACGTGTCGGTTATAGATAGATCAATTGCGTACCTTAAGTTTATAATTAGAACGACATATTTGTTATTATAGGTTCGGGTTTATCGGTCACCGAACGAAAATGTCAATATAAACAGTGTCCGGGTCAATATAGCAAATTTATAAGCTACGTATAATTATTAATATATGATAGAATAGATTTCGGAGATAAGTACAAAAAACTTATCCATATAGACGGAACGAGGTTTTGGTCAAATGCGGTTACTATATTATGGTTAGGTATTTGAGTTCTTGATCTCTTATGATAAGGCCAAGAAAGAGACCTAGTCTATCCTGCGTATTACGCATATCAATTATGAAAAAGTTTGGAAAAATAATGAGATGACCATTCTATAATCACAATATTCATAAAATAATATTATTGTGTTGTTTTTGTAATAGGTATGTATGTTATAAATAATGCGATGACATTCACAAAACGTCAACATAATATATCAGACAAGAGAAACGTGAAATGAATATAATTTGAGGAAATAAATTTTTTATCTTATAAATCTACGTTAAAATGGCCCTGTTGCGCATTCTTTCTTTATGCTAGAAGATTTAAAGATTTCTATCGTCGGCATATCTTTGGGGGGGGGGACAAAGATTTCAGGGGGGACAAGTGCCCCCCCCCCCTTGCACACTACAATTACGCGGCTGTGTGCATGACGTATAATAATATATACGTATGGCGAACAGTTGACGGTAGTGCTTGATGAGGAACAGCAAGCAGTCGTGCGCCGCCTTGTTCTGTCCCAGCTGCTTGGAATCGGGCAGACCGATAGTGGCGGCGGAGGCGGCAGACGACTGATGGTGGTTCCGGCGTGGCGACAAGGACGACGAACGGTTGTGCGACGTGGCCGGGCTGGACGGCGTTCACCCGCCGACGGAGCCGCCGTGCGGGTGCAACGACGACCAGGAGCCGGTGTTGCCAAGGTGGAACAGCGACGGGGCCAAACACACGGCCAGGTTGCTGGCGGACATCTGGTTCACGTTGCTCCTGGACGAAACCCGGAACAGGAAGTCGAGCAGCGCGAACAGGGCTTCGCGGTGTTCGTCGGGCAACAGCAGCACCGTGTAATGGACCGCTTCCTTTTGCAAGTACACCGGAACGTCTATACGTGTTACGTGGGTACATATTTTAGTATGCGTATTATAGTATTGTATCGTTAAAGACAGGCTCCCCCGAAATCCACTCTAACATTAAAAACAAAATGTATAATCCTCACCGTTCGAAAACATAAGAAATATTATCCTAAGATTCCCATACCACCAAGATTTAGATCCAGACCTATATCATTTTAACCAATACTAAACCAACATACCACATCTGGCAACTTCTTTTTGGCGGTAGCCTGGGTCGAAACAGAATACGATAAACAAAGCAAAACAGCGAATCCCCATGCAGCACGGGTTACTTTAAGATAACAGTTTTGGTCAGGTATTTTTAATAGTATTTAAAATTTAAAATTTATCTTCCTGTATATTATAATATATTATAGATACTAACTACTAATGGCCTCCGGTAACACACGGAAGTATTGCTTCACCATGTCGGCCACGTCGTAGGCCTGATTGTTTTCGAACTTCACGTCCTCCAGGTCGGCTTCGGCCAGTTGCTTTAGGCGCTGTATTCGGGATTTGACGCCAGGCTTCCGGAACAACCCCACGTGGTCGAGAGCGTTGTCTTCGGGCCACCGAAAAGCATACTGGACGAACGGTGACAGTGCCGAACCGTATTTTTGCACGTTGGCGATCAGCGGAACTCCGAAAACGGTCTTATCTGAAACGAATAACAATTATATAGAGAAAAACGATAAAAATAATAATGAGAAAAAAAAAATGTTTTCTACATAACAATAAATAATATCGAATTCATAAAGGGAATTCTATAATAATACGTTTCGTTTCATTGTGTGTTGGCCCCATCATCGCTTCTGTAGCGTACGTACCTTTGGGATCGGGCATTTTGGTTTTGCGCATAAACTTGGGCAATTCCCAGTTCCATCCGGTCCGGTGTGTCGGACAATACCGTTCTATGATGGCAGTCAGCTTGAGAAGAGTGAACTTCCGCAACACCAACAGCTGGCCAACCGTGAGCGACCCGACCATTTGTCCGGCCAAGGAATTGGGCCGATTTTTGGTCTTTTGAAAACTATGCCACCGAACAACTGACCCTCTGTAAATTATAAGACGTTGTAAGTTAAAACACACATATCGTAATACCTATGATATTCATCTAAAATATTTGTCAGTTTTATTTTTGGAAAATTAAATGCTACAATTAATTGTTTTTCAAAATAATACACCGTAATATATATATTGTCTGTAAAAATCACCAACCTAACGTGCGGACATAATTTGACCGGAATGTTCCCTACTATAAACGAGCGTGAAACGTAATAATTATATTATTTACTTTGATTTGATGGTTAGATCTTGATCGCTGTCTTGCACTGCGCTCGAAACCGAATCCACGCTGTCGTTGTCTAGAAATTCAATAAACACAATAAACGTTATTGAAGCGAGCACAAATAGTTGAACGTATAATGATGTATTCGGATTTTACATTTGTTTTTGTACGTGCGGCTGTCTTGACTGCCGTTGGGAGATGAGAATTCGTTACTCCCGTCAAGGGCCATGAAATCCAGCAGCGGCTATTTAGACGACAAAAATGTACGTGATAATATATAATATTACGATCGACATTACGTCCAATTATTATACAAAATTATGACGTGCATTTCAAAAATTTTAATCAATCGTCATTGTTACCTTGGTGTTGTTGCTGTTGGCGTCCGTGTACTCGTTTCTCCACGACAGTTCTGAATCGGAATATGCCAGCGAGTCTAGCGACTCGGGTTTGGCCAAGAACCGTTTGGTCTTAGTGTGATCGTCGGTCACCGGTAAATCTGGCGGTGTCACGTCCACGCAGTTAAGTTCCTTCATCCGTTGTTGCATCGAACCCATGTCTATGATCTGCGCATACGAGAGGAAAATCGATGCATTAAAACACGCGTTGAGAGACGGCTTTTGGTTCAAATCGAAAACGTATTTATTTAATTTTTGACGAGTACGGCGAATAAGAATGTTCAAAAAAAAAAAAAAATTGCAAAAGTAAAACCGGTGATGACAAAAAATGGTATAGTTCTAATGCAGTTACGTCTTGGAATATAGTAAAATAGTACTGGCATATGCAGTATAGGTATATAAGGTATATATTATACGAGTTGTAATAATATATTATACATGCATGCAATCGTAAGTTAATAAAAAACCATCAGCCTGACCGAAAGATGCGTAGCTGTTAAAAGAAAACGAATTACAGAATACATCTCGTCATCATCTCGACAAAGATATTAGCCATAGATGGAAACGTACATTGGACATAGATATTATTCTTTTTTAAAACTCCTCTGAGATTATTTACCATTACCTACTGCTATCGATTATTTAAATTAGATTTTAAGATTTGAGTTTTCAACATAAGAATTTACCTACACTTTTTTCAGAATAATTTACGTAAAATATAATGTCTATAGAAAAATATTCGAATCCTAACACCTATATAGGCACCGTTACTAATCATTTGGCAAAAATCCATGACATAATGACATAGATGCATAGTATACGGAAAAAAATATTATTTTTGTAGTTAATCTATCATATTGGACTAGGCCACAAATAAATATGGGTAGAAAATTACAAATATTAAAAATGCACCGTATTTTATAAATATTTTTATATTTTTTAATTTTGAAATAGTTATATCGTTTTCCGGAAAAAAAAACCATGATACCTAATATAAGCATGGGTATTAATGTTATCGTATAACAAATCGTATTCAAGTAATTAAGAGTTTAAGACATTTAATAATATTATTTTTATGGTCGCATTGCCGTTCGATATAATTTAACGCGTTCGAGATTTTACCAATACGTATATAGCAATACATTAAAATTAGAAATCTCGGACTCAAGGACATCTGGTTTTTGGAAATTATCGGGGGACGAGGAATCAAACAAATCCATCGATATAATGACTATTTAATGAGGATATTATGTATATATATTGTTATTGTACTAAAGACTAAACGTTACAATAATTTATTTGAAACTAAAGTTAGGTATATATGTATATGTTTTGGAACTCCAGTGTTCATTAGGTTTGTAAGTTATACACATTTATGGTAATTATTCTCATTGGAATATTATTTTTTTAGATCGACCGACGGACACTCGTGTAACAGTAACCTTTTATTGCGGCTCTTCCGTCATATTGTTTTTTATAGATCCTGCTGTGCGTACATAAGTAAGTACAATATTTGGGAGAAATTCGTATTATAATTTATGGTTAAACATTTTTTACGACCTCAATATTTAACCTTTTGGTTTTTGATAACCTCATTATATTATTTACTTGTTCTGTTGGTTATTTTACGAACCTATTTACACAGCAGATCCTATAATAGTTGTAGCTTGTATTATGTATTTATGTTGTTCCCATCGAGTTTATATTAAGTGCCTATACATTCAGAATTAATGTTCAAATTATTAAAAAAAAAGAAAGCAATAAATGTATTTGTTTATTTTAGTGAATATTTTCCTGTAAATGTCCATGAAAGATCAAAACGGATATAATTTTAATTTTACAAGGCTCATTTCTATTAATTTTGTGGAGACTCGTCATAATATTATCATGTTATCTTGTCTATAATATTATTTGAAATCAGAATATTTTTCTACATCAGTTTTTTTTTATCCATAATTGATTTTAAAATACTATTGGGTATTCTTAGCATCGTGAAATTCAAAATATACCTTTACAGCTAAATTGTAAAGGGTCGACTACAATTGCTGCATTTTTTTTTTGAACTTTTAATCAGGTGCGACGTGTACAGATTTCTAAATACATCTTATTAAACTTAATAGACTTGTTTTTATATATGTATTATATTATTATGCGAGAATTGTTTTAAAAATTAATAGTCATTGGACCGAATACAGAAACAAAAATACCATTGCAAATACCAACATTTATAAAACTATAGTAAAACAAAAAATATATTTTAAAATATTAAAGTTGGGACTAAAAAAACCGATAAGAAATCATTATCAATATAAAAATATATCGTAAAAATACAGTTTTTTTAAGAAAAAACACACAAGGGTCAATTCGTCTGGACGACTTGTGTTCACTAGAGCTGTCGATGTTATCCGCAGTACCTATACTTATATTCTGTGACTCGAATATTATATTCAGTGCAAAGTCAAGTCATATTTCGTTTAACCACCAAAAACCGACTTGACGAACTCTATTGACCACGCACACTGAATTACTTAAATCATATACTTAATATCGTAATAACTTGTATCACGTACAGCAAAATCGTGTATGTACATAATATAATAATATATCATAAGTTTGCACAAACCTGCTGTGAACCGATGACTACGCCGTCGCGGTTGCGCTGTTTCCGACGTCTCGTCTTCAGACTTTCCACCCTGCGCAGGATGGCCTTGGCCCCGTCCCTGATCCGCTCGCTGCCCGACCGGCGGAATCGCGAGATCAGTGCCGCGTCCGACGCGTCGGCCGCCTGAAGCTGCTCGGCCGACTGCACCGGTGGCTGTGGCATGGCGTTACTTCCAAACTTGCCTCCGACGCCGACCTGTTGCGACGATTGGAGGTCGTGGTTTTGCTGCTGCTGATGGCGGTTGACGGGCGGCGACGGTTGCAGCTGCTGCTGCAGCATCACCGCCGTGTTGACGATGTCGTCCACCCTGGACCACCTCCTCGACTCCCTCTGGAAAGTCCAGTTCTAGCTCAGCGCGCATTCCCCCTCGGAGTCCGAGTCGTCACCCTGTGACACACGTCGCCGATCGTTATTACAATAATATTAGGTATGTTATGTCACATTTTGGCAAAATTGTATTTTCAATTCCACAGTTTATAAAAGCGGTTTAATCAAGAAGCTGCTTTTGAAATGATTTAATTAAGGAAATAATATTGGTGATAATTGGTGGAGAGAACAAGAATTTAGAATAAGTTAAATTACGGGACAGGGATAATGATAACCTAATGAAGATAGAAGAAGGAAAATAGTGTGTTTCTACAAGAGTATATTATAGTGATGTACAGTAAAAAAACAATATTATGTTCGAAATCACAAATAGCTCCGACGGAGAGGAGAGAGCAGCAAGGGGGATGAAATCAGAGGAAAAAGGAAGGAATGTTACACATGGACACTTAGGGACACACATTTTTAAGGCATTATTGTTGACCTCTACTCAGTGAAATACTGCAAAAACGACACAACTAAATACTCATTATATATTTTAGAGTTTAATACAAGAGGCTATACTCGTCTGTATGTCTTATGTGACTTGTACAAGCAAAAAGTATTAAAACTAAACCTAAATCCTTAAGTATTAATCATAATGGTCATCCAGCTCTGGGTACTTATATTACTGAGACATCAAATCTATAGTTATTACCTTAATATATCTATATGTATAAGGTATATTATCTAAAAAGGGTACCTACCTAATTTAGTTAAATATCAATTATTGCACAAATGACTTCAGGCTAGGAAATATAAATGTTTATATGGGTGGTGTGGAAACACGAGGTGGCATTTACACCAAATTTGGCGCAAAATGCTACGCTAAAACGGTTTTTACTATTTATATTGGCATCACGCCGACTATCATCACCATTGTAATGTGATGGTGCCAACATTTGTTGCGCATAAATCGACGCTCAGATTTTGCAGCAAAATTTAACGGGACAATATAATTTTTTTTACGAAAATCACAATAGGTGCTGCAAGGAGTGCCCCCCGATAAATTAAGCGATAAATGGCGATTAAGCCATTAAACATATATTATATCAATTTGTACTTTACTTATAAAAAGATTATGTATTATCGTAGTCGATTATAATAAATGGTATTACCCACATTATTATTATTCAAAAATATTATTGTATCCGAGTACAAAGACGGGTTGTGCTTCTTTCAGCCGATTGTATGGCTATAATAATAATATGGTCTCGTGTCAGACGGTTGCCTAATGCGCCTAATGAGGTTTCAGTTTATATTGGTTTTAATAAGTTACCGCGGTTACAGCAGTAGTTGGGACCGGTCTGCAGAATGGCCTACAGGGTAATTGTTGTCGGTAGCATTTCCCTAGACTCTGGGAGTTCTAGGTGGTGGGTAGCGTATATATAGATGTGTAAACGGAGAATGGATTTCTGTAGAAAAGCGTTTTTTGAGCGGGAGGGTGTTTTTTTGATAAAATCCTCGGGGAGGCCTTGATCTTGCGTAGTCCGATATCTTGGACCGTGGTAGGTGATAAGTGAAACCCCAGGCCGGGACGACATAATATAGGATAGCAACGGTTTTGAGTAAAATCTAAGATATTGATTTCGGTGTTGATTGGAATTGGGCTGGAACGGTTTGGTATCGGGTCGTGCAGTTGCGCTAGTCGAGGGCTAAATATAATAAAATTATATTTTGTTTTACAGACTCGATCGTAACTAAAACAAGCGTAATAATATTATACTATCGTGTGAGTGGTGTTAAAATATTATCGTACACAGCTGCTGCAGTCCGCGTGTTTGATTATTTATGCGTTTCGTTGTGTTATAAATAAATATTAACACGTATACGTTTCACGTGTTTTATCTCCGCGCTCGACATAATATTATACAACCATTGATTAATTATTGTACGTATTAATAATCAAATGATATAATATTATCGCGTCGGTTTTAATTAAAACTACCACCCTAGCGTTTCTAATCGATCGAAACCCCCGCACAACGATAATATAAATCGAATCGATCGATATAAAACTAGAAAACAATGTACCTACGTATATTATAGGTAGCTGTATATACTCACTGCGTGTTTTGGCACAAAATCCAATTTCATGTTTGCGCAACGGTTCAGAGCGTGCAGTCTCCTGAACAACGATTGTAACGAGTCTAGGTCTAGAAACAGATGGTCCTTTTGTACGCCGTTCACGTCAATGGGAAATTGCAAATCTATACAGGAAAGAAAACGTCGTGGTGAAAAAATTCGGAAAATCGGACCCATGAGGTGTACTAATAAAAATAATTTATTCACCTTCATACATTTGCGCGTACTGTGGAAATCCGGCGGCTCTTAGCCATTTACACGCTTCTTTGGCTTCTATTTCTGTAACAAAAACGACGAAACACCTTTTTTTTAATACGGTTCGAATAACAGACGGATTCTGGTAATATTATCAAACATAATATCACATAAATTATGTACAAAAATCTAATAATCTCCGCCAGGATAACCATTAACAGACACGCTGGGTCGATACGATATTATACTGCAGGCATTATAATATTGTTTAACACATACCTACCTAAAATAATTATCGAAAACCAAACGGCGCACCGAACACGATTTTTAAGTATTCGACTACGTCGACTAAATAATCATTAATCACAAATCATAATAAACTATTATAATAATAATAATATACATTATCGGGCGGGCGCAGAGCAATTCGTAAACAGCGTGTGTTGTGCAGTAGGTAGACATTTTTATCGACTGGGTTTGTCGCATAGTTCGGGAAAATATGTTTATATGGCTAATGGCCATGAAACGGTTTCGTGTACGCGCGAATGACCAATAATAACAATTTTAATATTAATAACGATGAAACGGCCGTATTATAATATTGTGCGTTTATCGGTTTACGCGCACACCGCAATAAAACAATATTAAATTATATTGTGTAAATAATAATAATAATAATAATAATGCGTTGTAAATAGCACAGGATTGGCGCGACGAATCGGGGTCAGGTGCTTCCGAACCGAACGTTGCCGGCGAACGAGATAGAATAATAATATGACATCGCGGTTTGTCGACGTCGATCGTCAAGGACATCGCTGCAGGTACCAAGGTATATAATGGGTAAGTACCGCGTGCAGAACCGTGTTTACGTCTAGGTCGTTGGATTTTTGACGCGGCCTATATAATATTGTATATTATGATGGTGCGATCCGCAACGAGTCGAGATTTTTTCCGAGAGATTTTCGGTCCACTGCGTATTGTTTTAAATGTTTTTTTGATTATGATTTATACGCATTAATTATCACCGTCACACGCACTTTCCACAGATTGTGAAGACCGCGAAGAGAGATATATATTGATCAATGTGGACGACAAACGGCGGTTTTTCCCGCTGAAAAATCTGTTTTTGTTCCACCGTAGTTAGGTGGACTTCATAATGATTTTTAAATCGGGTTTAGATTTTGTTAACATAACGTGAACAATTTGTACTAATATACAACTATCAAAGTTTGACTTAAAAAATGCAATGCGTATTTATACATTTAATACAATATGCAATAACGAATAATTACGCTTCTACAGATAAATAAATGGAAAAAGTCGTTCGTAGTATCAAAATTAAGTACATTGAGGAGTTCAAATCCGTTCCAATATCGAAATCGCATCATCGGATTTCGTCGGTATTATGGAACGAAAATTCGTAAAAGTAGCATTATTTTGCCTTAATATTGCCTATACAAAACGCCTTACAAACGACAAGTGTCGAATTTCGACAGTAGAGTAACTACTACTATTACTCAAGTGTGTGAAGTTAGCCCCCACCACTTTACTAAAAGACTTTCAAAATATTGGTAACCTTTTTTTTTTTTAATTTGTAACCAACTTTTCAAAATTTGGTAACTTCGTAGTTCAAGAGTTACAACAGGTTTCCCGATGAGGGGACAACTTCACGCGAGCCCCCCACTTTCACCAAATCGATTGAAATTAAAGTCATAATTTTCCTTTTAATTTGTAACCATTTGTAACCGACTTTTTAAAATTTGTAACCTCACAGTATCACAGTTGTGCCAAATTTCGAAAAGTCGGTTACAAATTAAAAAAATTAGGTTACAAATATTTTGAACGTTTTTTTTAGTAAAGTCACACACGTCTATTACTCTATGATCCCGAACTATAGAAACCACGGGACCCTAGTCATAGCAACGAATATTTTAATTTATTTTTCTTAAAATCGCTGCTATAATTATATTTTTTGCGTAACGTAACAACGGACGCCATGGTATGTATAATATTACAATGTTTAGGCGAAAAACATTGTTTCATATAGATTTTTATAGTAATTTATTGCGTAGGTATCTGGCTAGATCGAAGACTTCTGATGGAGGTATAATGCACAACAATGAAATATATAATATTATATGGATGAGGAGGGTCGCGGCGTGTCAGTTCAACACCGGCGAACGGAAACGTATTTTATTCGCATGATTGTGAACGGCACAATCGCCCGGCCCACTTGACATAATATAATACTATATATAGTAGGTCACGAATTAATATATTATATTATTATTATAATTATGCTATTCGACATAATGATATTATATTATTATTGTACAAATAGGTATAGCCGTTTCAATTGAGACGCGCAGAAATATTATTATTGTTATTGTCGGGGTTTCTTATTTCTTGGTCAGACGTTCTATATAGGTATATTGTACAAAGAATACTGTTGAAATATACAATTAATATGTAGTATATGTAGTCAGCCTTGACACGTGTGTACAATTTAGTAACTAGTTATGTACGAGCATAAGACTCACTCTCTTTACGGATGTAACATGACCTCGGTCGTGCATATATATAGGGCCTTTGATGTATGTAATATTCACTTGCACAGGCGTCGTTGTACAGAGCGT